TGGTAACCACATTTTATTGGAGATTCGAATAGTACGTCAAAAACTGGGAATAATTTATCTAAAACATTTTCTTCGATTTAGACAGGTGGCGCTGCAATCCATCAATTATCAATTTTTTGCTTTAGATCTGTTGAACTATTATTTTATTGAAACGCCTAAAATTTTTGTGTGACCAATAGCATCTATTAATGTCAAACTCAGAACGAAATTAATAAATGTCAAAGTTTTCTATAGATTATTGTCAGTTTTTGACGTACTATTCGAATCTCCAATAAAATGTTGTGGTTACCATTTGAAATTCTCAAGTTGGCCCCTGCCTAGCCTACAAGATCGAAGTAGGCGTTGTTTTTCTGACACGAATAAACTTCCCCCTCCCAGATATTAACTTCTTATTTGAAACGTTTTTTCCTCGGATCACTCGAAATATTTAAGCGTTTCAAGATAATCAAAAAACCACCCTGTATATATGACATCCAAAAGACGTTCAAATGTTTCGCCTTTTGGACGCCCGAAATATGTCTTTATGTCATCAGATATTCGTCCAAGACCAAAAATGCCCAATAAATGGATCATATATACGTCATATTCGTCATTGCTGCTACCTGGGTTCCAACTTCAAGATTTTGTGGCTTATTTTATTAAACTGCATTTTTAACTCCACAGAAAAAAGTCAAGTGGGGTTAAATCGGGAGACGGAGCTGGCCATTCAATTGCCCCCGGCGACGTCCATTTCTCAGAAAATGTTTCATGGAGATACGTTCGTACTTCGCACCCAAAATCCCATATCCTGTCATCATTAATATTTCAATACTCTCAGTTTCACTTAAACGTGCCATTAAATCACAATAATTCATATAAAATAATTTTTTTTACATTCGTCTCAATCAAAAATTAACGGTTTAGAGCAAAATAATGACTCGGCGTTGTGATACTGACCAGAACTTTCTAAGATAATTTGTTGAACCGTGTTTTTATATTTGAATTAATAATTTGGCGAATTAAATCAAAACAATTTTGAGAACTCGACATATCCAAAACGGTTAGATTTAAACATCTAATGTGTTATGCGACTTTCGTCTACAACGTGGAGAATATGTCAATTATTGAATAAAATCCATTAGAAATAAGGTACGATTGCAATGGCTGTGGCTTTTTGACTCATCATGCATACAAATTTTTTTATGTAAATAGACTGGAATTAACCGTACAATCCTTCTTCTCTTTTACAATTTGTGTCTTATTAATCGTTTTATTCTAGGAATCTTAGTTTAGGAAATAATGCATCTCTTCCATACATGAAAGTGACCCTGTCTAAAATCTACCTCATTCTTGACCATATGTCTGACATACCGTTTTAGTTATGTTTATATTTGCAAAATGTTAATGTTTCTTTGATGCTATGGTTTGTTGCAAAATGTTTAGGTACCATATCGATGATTATTGAAAATTATTGGTATTTAAACTGATCCACATAATTCTTATTGCATTTCGTTAATTTTCAGTCAACCCTCGTAGCAAAATTTGCGATTCAGGTTTCTGCCGACGGTGTCGCTTTGCTAAGCACCGTCCGATCATGCGTTGCGATACCTTAAAAGAAGATGCCCGATCCATTCTGTCCTTGTTCAATGTCTTTGTTAAATCGGTTGTTGTTTTTCCGTGCAATCAAATCAGCTGATGCTTGTTGTGTTCTGTGTGACAGTTGCTGGCAAGTAATCACGTACTATTCGTGAATGTTTATTTTAAAAATAGTGATCCGCAATTAATAAATCACCAAAATTTTACGCGTAATACTTTCGAAACATCCGCAAATCGGCTGGACAACGTCTTTGTTTGATGGACTAGAAATCTCCGTCGTAATTATGAAAATGTCAGCCATTCGTTGCTAGTTCTTTTGTGTTGCGAAATGACGCAGTTGAGAATTAGATAGTTTCTATTGAAAACCTTATAGATTTTGGTAAGTAAAACGAAATAGTATTGTTCTAACAGGTCGTCTTTTGCGATGCGATCACCTGGCAGCTACAAGGACGACGCCCTTGATATTTTCAAGATCATTAGTGAAGTGGGCTTGTTTTCAATCCACACCCTTTGTGTTTGTTGCCAAACAAAATGTTTTTTTCTAATTTAACATCGTTTCAAGGTTTGCTTCAGCAGAGCGGCACGATTATTATATTTGTGAAGGAGAAAAATCAAATATTTCTTCAGCTTTAAACTTAACTGAGTTCTTGTATTCGTAGTTGAATCAGTATTCTCATAGCTCACATCCTAATAGATATCAGAGATATCCTGACATGTTTCTACAGGATAATATCTTTAATCCATTCCCGATATTTGCTCCCTTTATGATTGAAGTCCAGAGTCGCATTTGCAGATTTTCTTACCTGTTTCTTTCAACTTTTCCCCTGGTTTGAAGTATTTAGTGACGATTTATATTCTTAAGTGTTTATGCAATTTATATTACTGTACTTGCACATAACATAGTCAAAGCTTCAAGTAATAAGATCTTTGATTATTTGTCTAATTTTGTAATAAATGGTTGACGCACAAAGTGCGCACATTTTAAAAATATCTTACATGATACAGAGTGTCTCAGAAAAACAAGGCAAGATCAAAGTGATTTTTTTTAAATAGAACTACCAATTTTTTATTAGCTCATGGAACGCAGCTTGAAATGCTGCATATGCACCGTAAATTGTTTTTTCTTACTTGCGACGTTGGCAGATCATCGCTATTTTAGTAAAATTTTGCTTAAAAATATGGTATCTAAAAATTGTAGAAGCAAGAAAAGCAGTTAAAGATACGAAAAAATACGTCTTTCCAATCACCACAGATCCGTTAAGAATTCTATTGAACCAAAACATCAATACATTGTACAGGGTGTTAACAATGTGGACTTTAATCTAAGACTTTAACGCAATATAACTTGTTTTTCAAATGGAAGTACCTGTATATTAATATGTCATTAGATGAGAAAATGGACCGACAAAAAACGGCTTCAACGCAAGAAAATTAATTGGCAGTTTTATTAAAATTAACTGAAAATCCTCATATCTCCCAGAGAATAATTGCTAATGAAACAGATATTGGCCGATCTACTATACAAAAAATGTTGGTGAAAAACAAGATTGGTAAAAGACAATTTGCAAAGTAACGAATTTGCATTTACACTCTAAGCTGTGAAATCAACTGTTTTCAAATTATAATGTATTTTATTTAAAAATTTTAAAAAGTTGTTACATTTTGTAAGGTGGCTATGGAATTCAATAAATAAGCGTCAAAATTTCATGATTATTGACATATCGATCTTGACATTCCAATATACATTTAGTACCTATATGACGACTAGTTTAAAAGTCATCCATATTATTAAACAGCTCTTAAACAATTATGAATTTTTCTAAAGAAGAACTAGCGGATATGGTGTTTATATACAGAGTGATTCAAAATTGGCGTCATTCCTCTGGAGGTGTTGTTTGACGCTGTTATAGGAATACAGAAAAAATAGTAAAAGAAATTAATTGTTATTAAAAACTGAGAAATTTGCAAAAAACTATATCAGAAATTCGGCAACAATGTTTTTCAAGGTAATCTGCCTAATTAACATTGCGCAAATACCTGTTGCTTCGTAATTATTTAAAACTCCGGTAACCGTGGAATTATACAGACTGACAATAAGATAGACAAGGATAAACGGTAAATTCAACAAGATTTGTTGACGAAATGTCAACCTGTTCTCATAACCTTGAATATCGGTGTTTCTTGTGCTCTCCTTGTGCTGTGTGTATCGTACAAACGTGGTAGGAATGTAGCTGGTATTTATTTGGTGCTTGGGAAAGTGTCAGTTATTGTGCTCTGATTGCCCCTGGAAGGCCCTGATTCGATTATGTCCAATACTTGTTCCTCTGTGCCTGGAACCCGAACCTCGATTGTCGACCACTATCTTCCTGGAATCACTCTTCTCGCCCTTTGTTGGTGTGAGTTCTTCCAGCTTTTGCTATGTGACTGTAGCATTTCCCCTGAACTAATCGCATATCAGCAAATTTGTGAAAGGAAATTCAAAGTAAGTCACAGTTTGACAAATTATTGTTATGATTGACAAGGCCTATCCACCTGTAACTATCTGTTAGTGATAAAAAACCATCATTGCCGCTGTGCCTTTTCATCAAAAAATTGTCGAAGATAACTTTTTTGGTATCAAAAATTTTCGTAATTTGAAGCAAAGATCGTAATTTTTCTTTTTGAATGCTTAAATATTCCAATATGCTACCAATTAAACATAGAACAATTTCAAAATAATGCTTAATAACAAAGTTGAAATTCGATCGTCAACTGTTAATATCTTCTAGAAATTTTCGAAAAAAAAATTTTCAATATTTTTCTCGTACTCTCCAAGGGAGCCTCTATCACCCCTTAAAAGGAATGACGCCAATTTTGAATCACCCTGTATTGGGTGCTAGCAGTGTTGGGCAAAAATTGATTTTTATTGAAAAAATCAAAAATTGTGTAGATTTTTTGTATTTGTGTAATAATAATAGTCGGTTTGAAAAGAACGCAATGGCTGGAAGAAACGAAGACAGTATTTGACAGTTTTACATCAAAACCACCTCTTCTAATAAGTCAGGGTGCAGAGAAACTTGCAAACAGTGTAAGAAAGAGATTCAAGGCATAGTGCAAAGACTGAATGCACACCATGACGTTTGTAAGAGGCAACAAAACAAACAAGGCACAACAACAAATGCAAACATCGATCTTTCGCCCAACTTTTTTGAGACTGGGAGTGCCTCTTCCTCCTTTACATTTCCCTCGACAAGCTCCAACTCACCTCCAGAATCATCATCTTACACGCAAACAACTACCGAGTCGGCTTCCAAGAGAAAGAAACGTGAAAGCCAACCCTTAATGTCCAATTTCGTTAGGCGAACTTCAGCAGGGAAGAAACATCTTATTGACAAACAAATAGCTAAGGCCATATTTGCCACAAACTCAAGTTTTAGATGTATCGATAACTCGGAAGTCAAGAAAGCCATTCATCTATTGAGACCTGGATACACTCCTCCTTCTTGAAAAACGGTCGCAAAAAAGGTATGTTTTTCATCTCTTTCGGGGAAAAGTGTTAACATGTCGATTGACGGATGGTCAAACATTCACAACGAGCCGGTTATATGCGCAACATTAACAACGGAAGATGGACGAGCGCTTCTCTATGAAACCATTGATACTTCTGGAAAGCCTCATACTTCGACATACCTTACTGATCTGGTGTGCGATTTAATTTCCTCGTATCAAACAAAATTTCAGTGTCAAGTGCGATTTCTTGTAACGGACAATGCCGCTAATATGACCGCAATGAGGAAAACGTTAGAAGAACGGACGATCTCTGAAGTTATAACTTATGGTTGCTCTTTGCATTTACTAAATCTGCTTTGTAAGGACTTACAGGTGCAAGATGTCCAAGAACACATAGTCCAAATTGTTAAATATTTCCGCAACATCACATGGCCAAAGCCAAATTCAGTGCAGCTGGAGGCAAGGGACTAGTGCTACCTAGCGATGTTCGCTGGAACAGCGTGGCCGACTGTTTGGGAGCGTTTGTCACACAATGGGACATCATTCTCAACATTTGCGAGGATAACTCAAAAGATATCGATTTTGCTATCTTCAAAAAAGTATCAAACATAGAACTGAAGCATGCAGCACAATACCTGAGTACCTGAGCCTTCTGAAGCCCATTGCTGTTGCTCTAGATATACTCCAGAAGAAAAATGCCACAATATCTGATGCCGTAGCAAATGACCACATTGCACATTTTGTTCACATTAGTTAACAAAAGCATATTGCTTCTATACATACAGCGTGTCGCACTTAAGATGGACACACTCCTGTGTTTTATTTATTTTGGGAAGCAGGGTTTTCAGTATCGGACAGAGGTAGAACGTCATGAGCTTAATTAGTTAGGGTACCCATTTCTAACTTCAGATGAAAACCCAGCCTACTACGACTTTGCGAAATGCAATTCGGCAGATATCGGAGATATCGGCAAAAGTTACTAGAAAAAGTTGTTCAGAATGTTATTTTAGCGGTAAATACAGATTTTCAAGCCAAAAGTAAAATTTTGGCGTTTTTTTTTTAATTTTCACGCGAGGTCCGAAGTTTTCACTAAAGAAACGAAAAAGGCAACAATACATGGCTACAAACATGATTTATTCAACAAAATAAAAAAAGCAATAGAAAAATTAAAACGAAAAATTAGTATTATCGAATGTTGTCTGCTTTAACTAGTCCACCTGCAAGCCTAATGCACTTTTCAATGCGTTTGCGATTGTTATTGGCAACTCTCACAAGTTCAGCTACATTTATTCCACGGCAGGTTTGTCTGATTATCTCACATAGTTCTTCTCGAGTTGGAGGCCTTACTTTATAAAACTTATTCTTGATAGTACCCCAGAAATAGAAATATAATGGCGTAAGGTCAGGAGAGTAAGGGGGCTACTGTTCAAAAAAGCTTTTTCTGCCAATCCATCTTAATGGAGAATATCGATTTAGCCAATCCCGGACCAACAGGGAGTCATGAATAGATGCACCGTCTAGTTGGAAAAGCATTTCGTGTCGCACGTTGATAGGCAGATCCTCGATAACCACACATTAACTTTTTGTGAAAAATTCGGACTTTGCGTAAAAATTTAAAAGAATGCCAACATTTGATTTTTGACTTGAAACTCGGTACATACCCTTAAAATAACATTCTGAACAACTTTTTCTAGTAACTCTATCCGATATCTCTAACGCATCGCAAAATATAGCGAATTGTCCCTATTCGCAAAGTCCTAGTAGGCTGGGTTTTTATCTGAAGGTAGAAATGGGTACCCTAAATAATTTAGCTCATAACATTCTACCTCTGTACCGAAAAATAACTAAAATACAGGGGTGTTTCCATCTTAAGTGCGACACACTGTATAT